ATGTGTCTGGCTCTGGGGTGGGGTGTGGGAGCTGGGTACACGGGGACCCCTCGCCCGATGCTGGGATGTGTCTGGCTCTGGGGTGGGGCACGGGAGCTGGGTACACGGGGACCCCTCGCCCGATGCTGGGATGTGTCTGGCTCTGGGGTGGGGTGTGGGAGCTGGGTACACGGGGACCCCTCGCCCGATGCTGGGATGTGTCTGGCTCTGGGGTGGGGTGCGGGGGCTGGGTACACGGGGACCCCTCGCCCGATGCTGGGATGTGTCTGGCTCTGGGGTGGGGTGTGGGGGCTGGGTACACGGGGACCCCTCGCCCGGTGCTGGGATGTGTCTGGCTCTGGGGTGGGGTGTGGGGGCTGGGTACACGGGGACCCCTCGCCCGGTGCTGGGATGTGTCTGGCTCTGGGGTGGGGTGTGGGGGCTGGGTACACGGGGACCCCTCGCCCGGTGCTGGGATGCGGCTGGCTCTGGGGTGGGGTGTGGGGGCTGGGTACACGGGGACAGTGCCCCATAGTGAGTCCCCCGCCCTGCTCCGTGCAGGACAGCATCCTGTGGGTGGTCGGTCCACCCCCTCTCCCCCTAATGGCTGGGCTGGGTACCACAGCCCTGTGCTGTTTCCGAGGGCTGCAAGTTTGAATCCCGGGATGGGGGGAACGCGATTCAGCTCAAGTGGGGGTGGGGCGGTTTTGGCTCTGGCCGCCGCCCCCGCCCCCAGGTCCCCCTTCCCCTCCCTCACCTGAGATGAGGCTGGAGATGACCAAGGGCAAGATGAGCATTTTCAGCATCCGCATGAGGATGTCTCCCGGGAAGGAGAGAAGGACCAGCAGGTCTTCATCCAGCGGGGGGAGCAGCCGCAGGAGGCCCCCAAACATGGCTCCCAGAATCACCCCTAGAGACGAGGGGACAGAACCTCAGCGCAACCCCCAACAGGGTCCCCCTCCACCACCAAGATGCAGCTGCCTCTGGGGTGGGGTGTGGGGGCTGGGTAACCGGGGACCCCTCGCCCAGAGCATGGATGCGGCTGGCTCTGGGGTGGGGTTTGGGGGCTGGGTATACAGGGATCCCTCACCCGGCATGGAGATGCGGCTGGCTCTGGGGTGGGGCGCGGGGGCTGGGTATACAGGGATCCCTCACCCGGCATGGAGATGCGGCTGGCTCTGGGGTGGGGCGCGGGGGCTGGGTATACAGGGATCCCTCACCCGGCATGGAGATGCGGCTGGCTCTGGGGTGGGGTGCGGGGGCTGGGTAAACGGGGACCCCTTGCCTGGAGCAGGGATGCGGCTGGCTCTGGGGTGGGGCGCGGGGGCTGGATAAACGGGGACCCCTCTCTGGGGAGGGCTCCCCCTCGTGAACCTCTGCCCTGTTCCCGGCAGCACAGCGCCCCCTATCGCTGCATTGGGGCTTACAATGATCCCATCTGTCAACCCGCCCACTGGGGGGGGGGGGGGGAGAAGGTGGCCGGGGGGGGGGGGGTCAGGCCAACAGCCGCGGGCGGGGGGATTAGCCCATGTGTAATTTTCTTCCTCCCGGGTAGTGACGTAAAAGACACAATGAGACGTTAATCACATGCCGCCCCCCATGTCCCATCTCCGGGGGGTGGGGCTGGGAAGGGTGTGTGTGTGGGGGGTCACATCTGCTGGTCACGCCCCCCCCCATTGATCACCTGTTTGTGTGCAATGATAGAGAAGGGGGGGTGGGGGATGGATCAATGTGGGGCAAGGATGGGGGGGTGGGAATGGGCCGGTTCCCTTCCACCCCTGCCCCCCAGCGGCCCCCGGGCTCACACCTACCCAGCACCGTGAGCGTTAGCAGCAGGTTTCGGGTGAGCCACCCGCAGCGCTTGGCCAGGCAGGGCTTGGGCAGCGGGTCCAGGCTGCGGTGGGGCCCTTCCCCCATGGCCAACTCCACGTGGTGGGTCATCGCTGGGGTGTGGGTGGGGGGGGACGCAAGGAGAAACCCCAGGCCTGGTCTGCAGGCAAGGAGAGAGGGAACGCTGAGCCGGGGAGAGAACCCAGGAGTCCCGGCTCCAGCCCGCCCACTGCTCTCACCACTGGACCCCACTCCCGTCCCAGAGCCGGGGAGAGAACCCAGGAGTCCCGGCTCCCAGCCCGCCCATTGCTCTCACCACTCGACCCCACTCCCGTCCCAGAGCCGGGGAGAGAACCCAGGAGTCCCGGCTCCCAGACACCTGCCCCCCCCCCGCCCTGTTTCCCACAGAATTCTCTAATCCTGTCATCTGGGGCTACTAAGGGACCCCTTGCCCAGCACTGAGACGCGGCCCCTCTGGGATGAGGAGCCGGGGCTGAGGGGCAGCCACGTAAGTGTTTAGGACAGGAAGTGCAGGATGATGTAATTTGTGGTGGGGGCATCACCAGGACCCCTGGGTTGCTGGCCTGGGTCGGGGGACAGCCCCTGGGTCCTTTTATGGGGTCATGACTTCACAATCCCGGCTTCTCCCGCCAGGGAGTCCTCAGGAATTGAACCCTGGGGGTGGGAGATGGAGTCTGTCCCCTGTAGGGGGCGCTGGCTCCGATCCGGCCCCAGGGCGCGGACTGGCTGCTTCAGGGGGGCAGGGAATGGGGCCCGGGGCCTTTCCCCTCCAGTGGCTGGAGCCAGGCTGTGCTCCCTCACCACTGCCCCCTGCTGGACTGCAGCAGCAGCGTCCACGCCTCAGGGACTGAGGAAGGTTATTTTGCCCATTATAGAGATGAGGAAACTGAGTCCCAGAGAGATACAGGGAGTCTAGGACAGAGCCAAGGCTAGAACCCAGGCGTCCGGGCTCCCAAAGCCCCCCACCCTGCTCATGAGACCCCACTCCCCTCACTGCGCCGGGCAGAGAACCCAGGAGTCTGGGGGCTCACAGGGTCCCAGCAGGAATTACTGGGGTTATTTTGCACAGAACTTTCCCCTGTGAGCGCTAAGTTTCCGTCTGGCCTGGACAGCAGCTGGGTGCCCCCCGCCTGCCCCGTTAATCCATATTAACATGGAGGATTTTTCAATTTCTTTCGCATGGCATTAAATCATCTTCACAATAACATGCAGGAGGAAGCAGGAACATAATCCCCCCTGGGAGGGTGACAGGGCCGGGGGGGGGGTGTATCTCCTACCCCAGGGGGCAGGAGACCATGGACACAAGAAATAAAAAAGATTTTATCAGAGTGGGAATATGCTGGGGCCGGATGGGAGCCAGCGCCCCCTAGAGGGGAGAGGCCCCGGGCCCCATTCCCTGCCCCCCTGAGCCAGCCAGTCCCTGCCCTGGGGCCGGATGGGCGCCCACTAGAGGGGACAGGCCCCGTGCCCCATTCCCCCCCACCCCCCGCCCCCTCAGCCAGGCAGTCCCTGCCCTGGGGCCGGATGGGCGCCCACTAGAGGGGACAGGCCCCGTGCCCCATTCCCCCCCAACCCCCGCCCCCTCAGCCAGGCAGTCCCTGCCCTGGGGCTGGATGGGAGCCGGCGCCCGCCCCAGATGTTGCTTTACATAGGAGTTCCCCTTGTGGTTATGTGTGCCCCCTGCTGGATGGGGAGAGACCTGCTCCGTGTGTGCGTGATAGAACCCAGGCATCCTGGCTCCCAGCCCCCCCCCACTCTAACCACTAGACCCCACTCCCCTCCCAGAGGTGGGGAGAGAACCCAGGCGTCCTGGCTCTGGGCCCGCAGACGCGCCCTGCTGGAGGTGGAAGGCACCCAGCACGCCCCCTATGGAGCCGTGTGTGGATTTGGGCAGGATGCACCCTATTGCCCCCCCCATACCCCTCCCCGCTATCCCTCCAGCCCCCTGGACAGGCCTTACCCGGGGCTGGCGCCTGTCTGGTCCGGAGGTGCTGGGGGAACTGGTGCCAGCAGAGGCCGGGGGTGTGTATGGCTCCCCCTCTGTCCCCCCCCCCCCAGAAGCTTGACGTCAAGCAGCCAAGGAAGAACTCGGAGCGGGGGATTAAACGGAAGGGGAGAGAATGGGGGGGGGCGCACCGTCTGGCTCTTCCAACCCCCCCCCCCCCCCCCCACGACTGGGTTTAATCAACGGACTTGGGAGGATGGGGGGAGAACAGGATTAGGGGGAGGGGTGGGGTGACGGGGAGGTGGCCACGAGGAAGGGGGGGGTCAGTCATGGGATGGGGGGGTATGAGGATTTGGGAGGCCGTGTTTTGCTGTAAGTAGAACCCAGGAGTCCTGGCTCCCAGCCACCCGCTCTAACCACTAGCCCCCATGCCCCTCCCAGGACCAGGTGGCAAACCCAGGAGTCCTGGCTCCCCCTCGCCTCCCCTTCCAGCACAAAGTGGTACAGTGTGAAATCGACCAGGAGAAATTTCAGGGGGCATCAGAGCCCCCCTGATTCTGGGGTGTCATCTGGGGGGCCGAGAACCCCCAGACCCATAAACCCAGCTCCAATGATCAGACCCCCGGTTCAGGGGAGGGATCCCCCATCGGACCCCTAGCCTGGCTCAGGGGTGCACTAGCCACATCTGCCACGAGGGGGCAGCAGACGCCAAAGGATGGCAAACAGCCCCCAACCCCAATGGATGGGACTCGAGGGGTCCCTGTATAACCCCAGAGGGGTGACTCGGACCCACACAGGCCTGGTGCTTTTACCAACCCTGGCCCAGCCCCAGGGGGGCCCCTGCAGCCCCCTTGGGGCTGCTCTCCCAGGAGCCTGCAGCCCCTCCCCACCACTGGGTCAGGCGGGAGCCCCCCGCAGCGAGTGCCCCCCGCAGCGAGTGCCCCAGGATGGGCCCCGGGGGTAGATGGACCCCCCAGAGGGAGCTAGGCTCCCCAGCTCCTGGCTCAGGAGTGACTCGGCCAGTGGGGGGAGCGCAGGGAGGTTGTTGGGGGTCCGGGCGCAGCGGTAGTGGGCAGGGCCATTGTTTTCTGGGCCCCTTCCTGGGCATGGAGGTGTGGGGGGCTCATGGGTCACACCTGGGTCTGTGCAGCGAACAACAGCCTCTTTCACCCCCCTCCCACGTGGTGACCACGCAACACATGGGGAAATTGAGGCAGACACAGTATTGATATAAAATATTGTGAATAATTCCCACTGGGCCACAGTGTTCCTCCTCCAGCATTGGGGTGGGAACTCAGGCATCTGGGTCCCACCCAGGTCAAGGGTCCTCGTATAACCAGTCCCCCACGCTCCACCCCAGACGGGCCGCGTCTTGGCACGAAGGAAAATCCATTTGTTTCCAATAACAGTTCGGGGCCTGTCGGGGGTTGCGGGGGGGGAGGTCTTTTGCCTCTTCCTGCTGGGCCATCCCTGCAGACCCCAGCCCCCCCAAAAGACCCCCAGCCCCGGAGACGGGTCTACGAAACGTGGTTTAGTATAGAAGAAAAATCCATCTCCGGCTTCCCCAGCGCTGCAGAAATGAAGTCCAGACAGCAGGGGCTGTGGGGCCGGGTGCGAGATGGCACTGCACAGCGCCTCCTGGGGGCGGGGGAGGGCACCGGGGCCCATGGGGGGCTGGCCGCAGGCCTCAGCTCTGCAGTCCGCCGGGAGGCATGGCCGATTCCACCCTCCGCTTGGCTCGCAGGAGTGGGGTGTAGGAAGCAGAGTCCGGCTCCAGCGGCCCCAGCCCTGGCCGCCCACGTCCCAGAATCCATAGCAGCGGGACCAACCGTGGCTCCGGGGGTCCTGGGAGGAGATGGGGAAAAAGGGGAGGGAGTAGAGAGAAACAGAACCCAGGAGTCCTGGCTCCCTGCCCACCCCCACTAGACCCGAGTCCTCTCCCTGATTCAGGGGAGAGAACCCAGGAGTCCTGACTCCCAGCTTCCCCTGCTCTAACCACCAGACCCCGCTCCCCTTCCCAAGACTGTCCCCCGGAAAAGGGCCCGCACCCCACATGTGTTGGCCGGGGCGGGGGGGAGGTTATACCTGAGCCATCTCTTTCCTATCAGCTCCTGCACCCGGCTCGTTCAGGTGTCCAACCGCTCGGATTCCTGGGTCCCCTGGGGGGAGAGAGGGAAGAAGCAATGGCAGGAGTCCCAGGATCTGCCCTCCCTCCCGCCAGGAGCCCCCTCTTCCCCCCCTACCTGGCCGCGGAGCCGCCTCTGATGCTGCCACAGGCTGACGAAGGCCAGAGACCCCAGGATGGGCACCAGGAGGAGCAGCACCGGCAGATGGTTCTGGTGCAGGGAGCTGGCCCCGGACGCCTGGGTCCCCGGCTGCTTCTGGCTGGAGAAGCTGGGCTGCGGGAGCCCGTCCGGTGCAGGCAGCCGCGCCAGGGCTTCTGGGGGGACACGGAGAGCGTGGGGAGAGAGGGGAGAGGCGATTCCCCACTGTGGGGCCAGCGAGGGGGGTCTGAGGGGGGCTGTGTTTGGGGGCAGAGCAGAGCGGGGTGTGGAGGGGGGAAGGGGGGTTGAGGGCAGTGAAGGGGACGAGGGAATGAGGGAGGTGGAGGAGGTGCCAGATTGGCAGCCAATACAGGTCCGGGGGAGTCGGGGGGGCCGGGGAGGTACCTGGACGGCAGCGGAAGGGGGGGCAGTTGCTGGGGAGCCGGGGGGGTCAGTAGGGGGGCTTAACAGGGGTGTGGGGGAGGATGCCAGGGCCCTGGGGTGCCGGGGGGCAAGGGGGAGATGGCTGGCAACAGATGCAGGTGCAGTGGCTGGGGGGAGCAGGGAGGGGGTGGGGGGGTCAGGTCAGGGAACTGGGGGGCACCTGGCTGGCAGCAGACGGGGGTCAGGGTGCCGGGAGGGTCTCGGTGGGGGCACCTGGCCAGCAGCGGATGGGGGCAGGGGGCTGCGGGGGCGGCTTCGGGGAGTACCTGGCTGGCAGCGGACAGGGGTCAGGGTGTCGGGAGGGTCTCGGGGGGGGGCACCTGGCCGGCAGCGGGTGGGGTTGGGGGGCAGGGGAGGCAGCTTGGGGGGTACCTAGCTGGCAGCGGATGGGGGTCAGGGTGCTGGGAGGGGCACCTAGCTGGGAGCGGATGGGGTCAGGGGTTGGGGGGTTGCTCGGGGGGGTACCTGGCTGGCAGCAGACGGGGGTCAGGGGGCTGGGGGGGTGGCTCTGGGGGGTACCTGGCTGGCGGCGGTCGGGGGTCTGGGGGCGGCTCTGGGGGGGGTACCTGGCTGGTGGCGGACGAGGGTCGAGGGGGGTCGGCTCTGGGGGGGGTACCTGGCTGGCGGTGGACGGAGGTCAGGGGGCTGGGGGGCGGCTCTGGGGGGGTATCTGGCTGGCGGCGGACGGGGGTCAGAGGACTGGGGCGTCGGCTCTGGGGGGGTACCTGGCTGGCGGCGGACGGGGGTCGGGGGTCTGGGGGGGGCGGCTCTGGGGGGGTACCTGGCTGGCGGCAGTCGGGGGGGGGGCGGTTCTGGGGGGGTACCTGGCTGGCGGCGGACGGGGGTCGGGGGGCTGGGGGGGGCGGCTCTGGGGGGGTACCTGGCTGGCAGCGGACGGGGGTGCAGTTGCTGAAGTCGACCGGGTCCTGCCCCGCCATTTTGCTCTTCAGCGCCGCCATGTGGCCATTCAGGGCCCTCAGCATCCGCGACACGTTGCTGCGTTCCTGCCCCACGCAGCCTGTGGGGTCCTGGGGGGCAGAGGAGGAGGGAGGGGCGAGTGTCACTGCGCTGGCGGGGGGTGGGAAGCCCTGGAGCTTGACCACTCTGTGCTGTATCCCCCCCCCCACCAACACACACACTCCTGCCCCCCATTCCCCGCCAGCCAGCCAGCCAGTCCCCGCCCTGGGGCTGGCGCCCCCTAGAGGGGCAGGTCCTGCCCCCCTGGCGCTCACGGTGATGCCGCACTCCTCGACGAACCCGACCTGCTGGGCCACCTTCGCCACGAGGGGCCGCAGGGCCGTGCCCGCGACCCCCCACATGTGCCCCAGCTCCACCGCCAGGAAATGGACCTGCCACAGCTCCGCGCACCAGCCGTCCTGGGGGAGAAATGGGGGGGGGGTCAGAGAGACTATGGGGGGGAGCCTTGGCTGATGCGGGAGGGGGGCTCTGGATATCGGGGGGCCCCCCTTCTCTCACCGGTTCCAGGTTCGACGGCATCGAGACTGAATAATCGTGGAGCAGATGCTGGGTCTGAAGGAGAGAAGGAGACATGGGGGGGGAGGGTGAGTTGGGGGGGGCTGTGCTTAGTGGGGGGACGATGGGGGGCTCCAAGGGGCCCAATGGGGGCCCCACTCACCAGCTCATCGATGTCCCTGGAGAACGTCGTGGTCAGCGGGTCGAAGGGGAAGACGCAGCCGCGGCCCGGGGCTGCCAGGACCAGCAGCAACAAGAAGGGGACCTGCTGCGGGGGGGGCAGATGTGAGTCAAGGACCCCCCCCAGCCCTCCCCTGCCCGCTCAGATTCCCCCCAGTCGGCCCAGGCCCCCCTCCAAGCTATCTCAATCCCCTTGCAACCCCCCAAGCCAGCCCATCCCCCCAGGCCCTCCCCTAGCAGCCCAGTCCCCCCTGGAATTCCCCAGCCCCCCCAAACCCCTAGCCACCTCCCCCTGCATTTCCCAACTCCCCCAGTCCCTCCAGCCAGCCCATCCCCCCAGGCCCTCCCCTACCAGCCCAGTCCCCCCTGGAATTCCCCAGCCCCCCCAAACCCCTAGCCACCCCCCCTGCATTTCCCAACTCCCCCAGTCCCTCCAGCCAGCCCATCCCCCCAGGCACTCCCCTACCAGCCCAGTCCCCCCTAGAATTCCCCAGCCCCCCCAAACCCCTAGCCACCCCCCTGCATTTCCCAACTCCCCCAGTCCCTCCAGCCAGCCCATCCCCCCAGGCCCTCCCCTACCAGCCCAGTCCCCCCTGGAATTCCCCAGCCCCCCCCAAACCCCTAGCCACCCCCCCCCTGCATTTCCCAACTCCCCCAGTCCCTCCCCTCCCCCTACCAGCCCAGTCCCCCCTGGAATTCCCCAGCCCCCCCAAACCCCTAGCCACCCCCCCTGCATTTCCCAACTCCCCCAGTCCCTCCAGCCAGCCCATCCCCCCAGTCCCTCCCCTGCCAGCCCAGAGCCCCCTTAGCCAGCTCAGCCCCCACCCCCATGGCTTTCCCCAACCCCCCTCAGTCCCCTCAATACCCCCAGCCTCCCCCAACCAAACCAAACCCCTCTGCCCCCGGCCCTGCCCCCCACTGACCACGGAGGCTCCGGGTGGGGGTGGGGCGTCGGGGGGCGCATGGCGCCAATTCATCTCCTCACTGGGGGGTGGGTGGCCGGCATGCTGGGGGGGGCACTCGGCGTGGGAGCTGAGGGGTGCAAGAAAGGGCAGGTGAGAGACCTGGGATGGGGGGCTGCGGGCCGGGAGCGAGGGGACCGGCAGGGCGGGGGGGGCCGGGAGCGAGGGGACCGGCAGGGCGGGGGGGTCAGGAGCGAGGGGACTGGCAGGGCGGGGGGGTCAGGAGTGAGGGGACCGGCAGGGGGGGGGGTCAGGAGCGAGGGGACTGGCATGGGGGGGGGGGTCAGGAGTGAGGGGACCGGCAGGGCGGGGGGGGCCGGGAGCGAGGGGACTGGCATGGCGGGGGGGGTCGGGAGCGAGGGGACCGGCAGGGCGGGGGGGGGCTGCGGGCCGGGAGCGAGGGGACCGGCAGGGCGGGGGGGGCTGGGGTCGGGAGCGAGGGGCACCGGCAGGGCGGGGGGGGGGGTCAGGAGTGAGGGGACCGGCATGGCGGGGGGGGTCGGGAGCGAGGGGCACCGGCAGGGCGGGGGGGGGGTCGGGAGCGAGGGGGACCGGCGGGGGGGTCAGGAGTGAGGGGACCGGCAGGGCGGGGGGGGCAGGGGCAGCGATTAGCGCAGGATCGGAGCCAGCCCCCCACCCCCGTCACACCCGGAATAGTTCCCGGGAACGGGAACCACGTGCATCACCCAGCGCAGAGCCCCCCCCGCTGCCAGTGCCCGGGGGGGGGGCTGCTCCCCATCCCCGCCCCGCCCCTCTCACCTCTCCGGGGGTCGTGCGGGGCCCGGCTCAGACCCCCCCGCCCGCCGCCGCCCCCGGCCTGACCCGCCCGTCGGCCCCGCAGCTGCTCAGATGGGATCGAAAGTGAAAGTGGCGGGAAAGGGGGGGGCCCCCGAGGTGAGGGGCTGCGGGGGGGGGGGCGAGACGCGGCCTGGAGGGGAGGGTGACTGTGAGCCCCTCCCCCACCCCCACCCCCACCTCTCCCGGGCCCCCCCAGCTCCCGCCCCCCGGCCCCAGCACGAGGCCAAATATTGACTCCAACGTGCGGCCGGGCTCCGAGCGACACGGCCCGGGCCCCCCCCGGCGCCCCCCCCCCCCCCGCCCCGACCTGCACCCCCCGGCTCCCCCCGCCCCGCACCCCCCGGCTCCCCCGGCTCCCCCCGCCCCGACCTGCACCCCCCGGCTCCCCCCGCCCCGCACCCCCCGGCTCCCCCCGCCTCGACCTGCTCCCCCCGCCCCGCCACCCCCCGGCTCCCCCGGCTCCCCCCGCCCCGACCTGCACCCCCCGGCTCCCCCCGCCCCGCCACCCCCGGCTCCCCCGGCTCCCCCCGCCCCGACTCGCACCCCCCAGCTCCCCCGCCCCGCCCCGCACCCCCCGGCTCCCCTCGCCCTGACCCAACCCCCCCGGTTCCCCTGGCGCCCCCCGACCCGCACCCCCGGCTCCCCCGGCGCCCCCCACCCCGACCCACACCCCCCGGCTCCCCCCGCCCTGACCCGCACCCCCGGCTCCCCCGGCTCCCCTCGCCCCGCCCCGCACCCTCCGGCTCCCCTCGCCCCGACCCGCACCCCCGGCGCCCCTCGCTCCGACCCGCACCCCCCGGCGCCCCCCGTCCCGCACCCCCGGCTACCCCGGCGCCTCTCGCTCCGACCCGCACCCCCCGGCGCCCCTCGCTCCGACCCGCACCCCCCGGCTCCCCCGGCGCCCCTCACCCCCGACCCGCAGCCCCCTACTAGCCCAGCCCAGTTGCAGTTCCCCGGCTGCAGGATGCCGGTCTTGACCCAGTCCCTGGGGACGAGCCGGTGCCTGGCCATGGGGCTCTGCGGGCAGCAATAGCTGGGGCGGGCTGGAGCCCTCGTCAGACCTCAGGGGGCAGAGAGAGGCCTGTGGTGGGGGAGGGCTGAGAACCAGGCAGCTCAGTTCATGGGGTCAAGGGAACAGGACCTGTCCCCCGCCCCGGTCCCTAAAATCCAGCAATGGTGGCCAGAGGAGAAAAAACCCCTGCTGAGCTCCCCGCAGCCCAGCACCCCCCCCCCGAGCCCCAACCAGCTCCCCACAGCCCAGCGCCCCCCCACCCAAGCCCTCTCCCCACCCCCTGCAGCCCAGCGCCCTCCCACTGAGCCCCCCACAGCCTAGCGCCCCCGAGCTCCCCTCCCAGCGGCCCAGCGCCCCCTGGGGCCAGCCCTGCCAGATGTGCTAGCCATTCTGGACCTCCGGGCCCCGGGGCAGGACCTGGGGCCCCAACCCCGGCCGTGAAGCGGCGCGAGCCCAGAGATCCTGACGCGCCTTTTGATCCCTCCTTTGCGGCCGGACACGTCCCAGCGGCGCCCGCCCGAGAGAGGCCAAAGGCTGCAGCCGGCGTGGCGGACCCGGCGGGAGGAACCCAGGCGTGGTCAGGAAACACGTCAGCCGGGCGTCCCCGCTTGTGGGGCTCAGGGTCTGAATGTCGGGGGGCCTGTAGGTGCCAGGAGCCCGTTGGGACGCCGGATGCCCTCTGTCCGCACTGAGTGGAGGTCGCAAAAACCAGCAAGAAGCCCCCCCTGCCCCCACCGGGCGAATGGAGGTGTCGCTCAGGAAGCTGTGGCAGGATGTCACCCCTGCAGAGCAGCTCGCTCGCACGGCAGCGGGCGACCTGACCCGGGGAACGGAGATGGCAGCGGGGGGAGGATGGGGCCGGTGCCCCGAGAGCTGGGGGAGGAGGCTTGGAGCCCGGCGGCTGGCAGCTTTGAAGGGGACTCGCCCCATTGCCAGAACCGGGGAGAGAACCCAGGAGTCCTGGCTCCCAGCCCCCACTGCTCTGAGGGCTGTGGGACCGGGTGTGGGGTGCTGACACAGGCCTGGCTCGACTTCCCCACACCGTCTGTCCGAGGGTGGCGAGAGGACCTGGTGCAGCTGGGCCCACGGACCCAGAGCTGGGACCTCGGCCGCAGGCCCAGCGGGGAGGGCGGGGGGTGTCACCCCGGCTTGGCACCCAGGTCCCTCCGGACCCCAGACTCCCCCGCCCGGCCCAACCCGGCTTCGCTCCTGTCCTGCCCCTCGGCTCGGAAACCTCCCACCCTGCCCCCCACTCCTCCACCGGGGGGCTGCTTCCTTCCGCCTCTTCTGCCTCCATGTCCCCCTCCCCGCATTTCCCCTCCCCTCTCCCTCCATCTCCACCCTCCCTCCATCCCCTCCCCACATCTCCCCCTCCCTTCCCCCTCCATTCCCTCCCCTCCCCTCATCTCCACCCTCTCTTCATCTCCTCCCCCCATTTCCCCTCCACCTCCACCCTCCCTCCATCTCCTCCCCGCATTTCCCCTCCCCTCCCCCTCCATCTCAACCCTCCCTGCATCCCCTCCCCCCACCCGCCCATTCCCCCAACCCCACTTCTCTCAGTGTCCCCCCATCTGACACCCCAGGATGCCGGCTGGTTCCCCCCCCTTCCCGCTGCTGAGGTTCTGGGCGGGGGCCAAGGGGTAGAACTCAGCAATTCTAGGCAAACACAGGACTTCCGGGATCCAGCGGATTTTGGGGGGGGAGGGGGGGGGGATTGGCCCTTCCAGAAACCCGGTGACTCTGCTGCCCCCAACACGCGTCCTGCTGGAGCTGGGGTCACCTGCCCCCTCGGCTGGGCTGCAGGGGGAGGGGGCTCTGCTTGCAGCCCGAGGTCTTTTGGGAACAGAGGTAACTGGGCCAGGAAGACCCCCCTCCCCTTTCCCCTCTAACCACTCGCCTATCCATCCACCCCTCTTCCCTCCCTCCCTTGTTTCCCTCCCCCTTTCCCTTCTATTCACCCCCCCTCCCCCAGGCTGGGACCTCCTTCCCTCATCCCGCTGGGTCCCCTTCCGGACGCCCTACAAGTTGACCCTCTGCCTGCTGTTATTCGTGATCCTCATCAGCTCCATCTACCTAAGCAACTGGATCGCCACCACGGAGTGGGGCTTCCCCACCCCAAACGCCACGGAGCAGGGCGTGTGGACTGTGAACCCCAAAGGGCGGCTGGGGAACCAGATGGGGGAATACGCCACCCTCTACGCCCTGGCCAAGATGAACGGGCGCCAGGCCTACATCCTCCCGAAGATGTACCAGCATCTGGCACCGGTCTTCCGCATCAGCCTGCCCATGATCTCCAGATCCAGGGCTTGGAGGATCCCGTGGAAGGACTATGAGCTCCACGACTGGATGTCGGAGGAGTACAGGCACATCGAGGGGAAATACGTCCGGCTGACGGGCTACCCCTGCTCCTGGACCTTCTGCCACCACCTCCGGCAGGAGATCCTCCAGGCATTCTCCTTCCACGACCACGTCAAGGAGGAGGCCAACCGGTACCTGGCCGGGCTGCGTGGGCAGCGCCGGAATGTGACCTACGTGGGTGTCCACGTCCGGAGGGGGGACTACGTCCGGGTGATGGACGAGCGCTGGAAGGGGGTGGTGGCGGACAAGGCCTACCTGGAGAAGGCCATGGGCTACTTCCGGGCCAAGTACCAGGAGCCGGTCTTTGTGGTGACCAGCAATGGGATGGAGTGGTGCCGGGAGAACATCGACACCTCGCGGGGAGACGTGTATTTCTCGGGGGATGGGAAGGAATCCTCGCATGGGAGAGATTTCGCTCTCTTGGCTCATTGCAACCACACAATCATGACCATCGGGAGCTTCGGCATCTGGATCGGCTACCTGGCTGGGGGGGAAACCGTCTACTTGGCCAACTACACCCTCCCCGACTCCCCCTTCCTCGAGATCTTCAAGCCTGCAGCCACTTTCCTGCCTGAGTGGATCGGGATCAACGCCGATCTCTCCCCGCTGCGGAGTGGGATGACTGGCTAAAGGAGCTCATCCGATGGCCACGGGATCCACCTGCCAGGACTCGCCCGGTCGGCCAAGGAGCGGGCACCTGGGAACCCTGGCTGGTTCGGGCTGCGCTGGGGAGATCGGGGGAGATTGGAGCTGGGCTGGTGGGGTTCAGAGCCCCATTGTGACGGAGCAGGGGGTGGGGCGGATTGACCTGGGGATGTCGCAGGGGAGTTTCACTGGGACTGTCTGCATGGGGGATGGGATACCAGTGGGTGGCTTCACTTGAGGGACAATACCTGAGCCGGGAGGGGGGCTGGGGCCAGGTGACACCTTTGCCCGGGAAGCTGGACAAAGGCTGGAGGAGGAGCCGGGGGAGGCTGGGGGAGTCGGCTGGAGGGGGTTGAGTTGGGAATGGACTGGGAAACGGAGGGAGCCCCAAGGCTGGGGTCTAAGCTCCCTGCCCCCCCCCACCGAGGGACCTGACTGAGGGGTCCTGTTTGTACCTACAAGCTCTGTTTGGGGCCGTGTTCCTATCATTTAACAAACCTTCCGTTTTACTGGCTGGCTGAGAGTCGCGGGGAATCGCAGGAAGAGGGGTGCAGGGCCCCGACTCCCCCACACTCTGTGACACCCATACGAAGCAGCCAATGGCCTACATCCAACAATTTCTCATAGGAGTGTCCAGAGTGATGGGACCATCTATGTCTGTTGAATGGTTAGAGTGGAGGGGAGTGGGGGCTGAGAGCCAGGACTCCTGGGTTCGAGTCCAGCTTCGGGAGGTGAGTGGGGTCTGTGAGGGGTCACCTCCCCCCCCTCCAGGGTGCCACCTGAGGTACTGGGGTACCACTGAGCCTGCCTGTTGCAAAAGCCTGGGCTTCCTTACACTGTCCTGCTGAGCCAGGCCCTCAAGCCTCCTCCAGCACACACACAGGTAGGGACACACCCAACTGCAGAAAGACAGACACTGAGATTAACTCTGTGTGGGAAGGCTTCACTCGGGAATAGCCCAGCACTCCAGTGCACCCCCCCATCCCGGGGCACAAACCCAAAATTGTGTTGTCTTGCCCTGCATAGAGAAAAGTACAGCGCAAGCTCATGAAATTCGCCCCCTCCCTCAATGGGGAGGAAGATCTGCACAGCGTTTTGCCCCCCAGTTATGAATTCCACAAATTCATTTTAGAGACAACAAAAACAAGCTTATTAGCTAGAAAAGATAGATTTTACGTGATCATAAGGGATAGCCAACAGATCAAAGCAGATCACCCAGCAAATAAAACCACCACGCAATATAAGCTTAGATACCAAGGAACCTGGTTACAAGCAGTAATTTCTCCCGTTAAATGTTGTCTTAGACAGATTGCAGAGGTTCTTGAAGGCAGACTGCTCTTGCTTGCAGCTTAAAACTCCAGGTATTCCTGTCACGGGCCAGACCCCTTCCCAGCCTGGGCTCAGCCCTTTGTCACCCCCCATCCCCCTTGGTCTTTGTTTCTTAGATGTTCTCAGCAGTCAGCCTGGGCGGGGATTCAGTGAAGAATGAACCAAGATTAACTCACTCCCCTGCCTTAAATAGGATTTACATATGTGGGGAAATCCTTTGTTTTCCAGTGTCGTTCCCCCCCCCCCCCCCCCCCGGCAGTGGAAAGATACTGGTATTCCATCATAGAGGCCAGAACTGGTTGAGGGGGGGGAACGGGATCACATGATCAAAGCAGCCATGAGCCAGAGGTCGTTGGTCCCATCCCAGGCAGGTGGGAGATGCACATCTTCAAAGACGTATTGTTCTTCCTAAGGGCCCAGCCGGACTGATGGCCTGGCGGGCGTTCCCCAGGTGGAAACCCACTGATCATTGTTACAGAGTCGATATTCCTAACTTCAGCTACAGGCATGGGACGTGCATACAAAGAGGGTGATCACACTCAGCCAATCATCACTCTCAGCAAGTTCGCAGATGACTCTGAACTGGGAGAAGAGGTAGATACGCTGGAGGGTAGGGCTAGGAATCAGAGGGACCTAGACAAATTGGAGGCTTGGGCCAAAAAAAATCTGATGAGGTTCAACAAGGACAAGTGCAGAGTCCTGCACTTAGGACAGAAGAACCCAATGCACCGCTACAGACTAGGGACCGAATGGCTAGGCAGCAGTTCTGCGGAAAAGGACCTAGGGGTGACAGTGGACGAGAAGCTGGATATGAGTCAGCAGGGTGCCCTTGTTGCCAAGAAGGCCAATGGCATTTTGGGATGTATAAGTAGGGGCATAGCGAGCAGATCGAGGGATGTGATCGTTCCCCTCTATTCGACATTGGTGAGGCCTCATCTGGAGTACTGTGTCCAGTTTTGGGCCCCACACTTCAAGAAGGCTGTGGATAAATTGGAGAGAGTCCAGCGAAGGGCAACAAAAATGATGAGGGGTCTGGAACACATGAGTTATGAGGAGAGGCTGAGGGAGCTGGGATTGTTTAGCCTGCAGAAGAGAAGAATGAGGGGGGATTTGATAGCTGCTTTCAACTACCTGAGAGGGGGTTCCAAAGAGGATGGCTCTAGACTGTTCTCAATGGTAGGAGATGACAGAACGAGGAGTAATGGTCTCAAGTTGCAGTAGGGGAGGTTTAGGTTGGATATTAGGAAAAACTTTTTCACTAGGAGGGTGGCGAAACACTGGAATGCGTTACCTAGGGAGGTGGTGGAATCTCCTCCCTTACATATTTTTAAGGTCAGGCTTGACAAAGCCCTGGCTGGGAGGATTTATTTGGGGTTGGTCCTGCTTTGAGCAGGGGGGTTGGACTAGATACTTCCTGAGGTCCCTTCCAACCCTGATCTTCTATGATTCTATGATCACCTGTCTAACGATACCTCACACGCCTCAGCTTGCACAAAAGATACCAGAGTGATGCTATAATTATACTGACAGGGTTCAGAGCAGCAGCCGTGTTCGTCTGTGTCTGCAAAAAGAACAGGAGGACTTGTGGCACCTTAGAGACTAACCAATGTATTTGAGCGTAAGCTTTCGTGAGCTACAGCTCACTGCATCGGATGCATGCTGAAGCTCACGAAAGCTGATGCTCTAATAATTAATTGGTTAGTCTCTAAGGTGCCACCAGTTGTCACGGAGTCCCTGGGCGATGCTCTGGAACTGCTCCCCATGAAGCCAGTCAGGACTCTGGGGTAGTCGCCTTTCTGGGAGCAGCCTGTCTTCAGGACACACAGCTCCCCCGGCTCCACCTTCCTGGGTCTGACCTCGGAGCATTCAGCCTCCTCTGCCCCTCCGTGCGCTTCCCACAGTGAGTCCGCCCAGGCGGGGCTCCTGGGGAAGCCAGAGGGTCCTGCACCCCAACTTCGCAGTCAGACGTGACTCTCAGCCAGCCAGTAAAACAGAAGGTTTATTAGACGACAGGAACATGGTCTGACACAGAGCTTGTAGGTGCAGAGAACAGGACCCCTCAGCTGGGTCCATTTTGGGGGGCAGTGAGCCAGACAACCACGTCTGCACCTCACTCCATGTCCCAGCCAGCCCCAAACTGAAACTCCCTCCAGCCCCCTAACCCCCCCCCCCCTCCTCTGGGCTTTGTTCCTTTCCTGGGCCAGGAGGTCACCTGATTCCTTTGTTCTCCAACCCTTCAGCTCTCACCTGGCAGGGGGGAAGGGCCCAGGCCCTCAGTTGCCAGGAAACAGGGTGTCGGCCATTCTCTGTGTCCAGACCCCTGCACACACCTGCCCTCTAGGGCTCTGCAATGATCATACACCCTTACCCCACCACCTAGATACTTAAGAACTGCCTGGGGGAAACTGAGGCACCCCCACACTATTCAGAGGAAACATTAAGAACAGTCCCACTTCGTCACACAAGTCCTCCTGTTCTTTTTATAATTATATTGTAACAATATTTCTGTGAAGAATAGGGGTGGTGGTGTCACAGAGTCTGGGAGGTTAGAGCGGATGGATGTGGGGTCCAGTGGTTAGAGCGGGGGGGGGGCTGGGAGCCAGGACTCCTGGGTTCTATCCCCAGTTCTGGGAGGGGAGTGGGGTCCAGTGGTTAGAGCGGGGGGGGGCTGCGAGCCAGGACTCCTGGGTTCTACCCCCAGTTCTGGGAGGGGAGTGGGGTCCAGTGGCTAGAGCGGGGGGGGGGGGGGGCTGGGAGCCAGGACTCCTGGGTTCTATCCCCAGTTCTGGGAGGGGAGTGGGGTTCAGTGGTTAGAGCGGGGGTGGGGGGGCTGGGAGCCAGGACTCCTGGGTTCTATCCCCAGTTCTGGGAGGGGAGTGGGGTCTAGTGGGTAGACAGGGGGGGCTGGGAGCCAGGACTCCTGGTTTTATCCCTGGCTCTGGGACAGGAGTGGGCTCTAGTGGTTAGAGCAGGGGTTCATATTTGTCTCCAGCTTTGTGAAATTGACCCTTCTAAAGCACCAATAGGTACAATATTGGTCTGGACCGGGGGGGCCAACCTGGGGGTCTGGAGCCCCACGCGGCGCTTCCGATGTTAACATGCGGCTCCTTGTCTAGGCGCCAACTCCGGGGCTGGAGCTACAGATGCCAACTTTCCAACGCGCGGGGGGTGCTCACTGCTCAGCCCCTGGCCCTCCCCCCACGGCTCCCCTTCCCGCCTGTGACAAAGTGGGGGGGTTTCTTGGTTTTTCCAATGGTTTGCATGCCGAGGGGGTGGGACTCAGTTTCCCTGCAAGTTATGGGTGGAACGAGGTGATGGGAGAGGGAGTTGGTTGGTACAGGGGACCGGCGAGGGAACTGGGGACCCTGGCCCATTGCCTGGAGAACGGAGACCCCAGCGACTGGTGACCGGGAGGCCCAGCTCGGGGGTCACAGCCGGGTCCGGCCAGTGGGAGGACAATGGGCTGGGAAGAGAGGACCCCGGTGACCGGACCAGCCGGTTCCAGCCAGGGGGGCCAGAGGACAGAAGAGGGGAGAGGAGGCCAGGTGACCCTGTTTACCCGGAAAGAAGACAATGGACAGAGGGGGGCTTGGGGCCGGTGATCTCAGCTGCCCAGCTGGGAAGCAGGGGGGCTCGGGGCTGGAGCGAGGGGGCAGGCAGAGCCCACCTGGATGCAGGGGAGACTGGGATGTGCTGTGCGGAGGGAGGCCAGGCCTGAGAGGTCAGAGTTTCCTGTGCTGGGTTCAGACGCTCAATAAACCCTCCTGTTTGACGCTGGCTGAGAGTTGCTCCGGGCTAGAGATGGGGGGACCTCTGGGAGTGGGCGCCCTGGGGGTCCAGAGCGAGGGGCCCAGGGCAGAGACAGGCGTGCTAAGGCTCAGACAGGTGCGGTTCCAGGAGGTGGAGGGGCCTAACCCCCGAGAGAGAGAGGATCCCCGAGAAGGGCTGTCGCACTGAAGGGGGTTCCCCCAGGGACCGCATGGGGCCAAGAGTGGGCACCACCTGGGAGTCAGTGACACTTCCCCCCCCACCAAGCCTTGTGTGCCCTCACTCCCCCCCCCCCCCCCCCGAGCCTCCTGCATGCCAGGGAACAGCCGATCAGGAGGTGCAGGGCGGGAGGGGCAGGCGCTGATCGGTGGGCGGGAGGCGCTGGGAGCGGGGCGGGGGGGAGCTGATGGGGGGCTGTTGATGTACTCCTGGGGCTCTTTGGTGATGCCCATTGTTAAATTCTGGCTCCTTCTCCGGCTCAGGTTGGCCACCCCTGGTCTGGACTGTAGCCCACTTCGCTCCAGTGGGTTAGAGCAGGGGGGCTGGGAGCCAGGACTCCTGGGTTCTCTCCCCAGCTCGGGGAGGGGAGTGGAGAAGAGCATTGGGGCAGGCGCACGAGGACCGCGTGTGTGCCAAGCCTCTAAGACCGAGGTGGGCTGGCGAACCATGACCATTAACAAGAGACAATAAAATTCGAGGTTTATAACTACCCTACCCCAGCCCTGGGACCGATCCCTCCGCCCGAGGGCACTCAGCCCTGTGGCATCAGGCCCAGCCCACCCCTTCCCCGGGGAGGGGGGCAGTAATTCCCCCCTGCCCCGCATACTCTCGCCCACTAGACACCATTCCTGTCCCAGAGCTGGGGAGAGAACCCAGAAGTCCTGGCTCCCAGCCCCCCGGCTCTAACCCATTAGACCAGGGGTGGGCAAACTTTTTGGCCTGAGGGACACATCGGGGTTGTGAAACGGTATGGAGGGCCGGGTTGGGGGGCTGTGCCTCCCCAAACAGCCTGGCCCCCATTTCCTATCCGCTCCCTCCCTCTTCCTGCTCCCGACCGCCCCCCTCTGAACCCCTGACTCATCCAACCCCCCCAATCCTTGTCCCCTGACTGCCCCCTCCCGGGATCCCCTGCCCCCCCGGGACCCCAGACCCCCGAGAACCTCTGCCCCATCCAACCGCCCCCTGCACCCCATCCCCTGCCCACCCCCCAGAACCTCCTGCCCCTTATCCAACCCCCTTGCCCCCCACCCCTTTACCATGCTGCTCAGAGCAGCAGGACAGGTGTACTGGAAACCCGGGGAGGTGGGCGGGTGCAAGCCATGCTGCCTGCATGGAGGTGTAGCTACGGGAGCCGGGGGCCAGCCTCCCCGGCCGGGAGTTCAAGGGCCGGGCAGGATGGTAGTTTGCCCACCTCTGCACTCGACCCCACTCCCTTCCAGAGCGGGGGAGAGAACCCACGAGTCCTGGCTCCCCCTCCCACCCCACTCGAACCCCCTAGACCCCACTCCTCTCCCCAAGCCTGGGAGAGAACCCAGGAGTCCTGAGTTCCAGTACCTTAAGGTCTGGGAGGGGAGTGGGGCATAGCAGTTAGAGCAGGGGGGCTGGGAGCCAAGACTCCAGTTGTCATTCTCTCTCCCCCGCCCCCCAGCCTCGTGCCTCAGTTTCCCCATTCAGGCAATGACGCTCATGAGGCAACAGGAGACGGACCCCCACCAGGGGGCAGGGTTAAACCATACCAACCCTTTTTATTGTAGCCCTCAGGCTGCGTGGTTTGGGGTGGGGACCCTCGGCTTCAGTTGGCAAAGATCTCCCCCATGGGGATCCAGATGTTCTTACACTGGGTGGCCTGGTACAGAAACTCCTCACCTGCCCCCTGGGCCGGGTCCTCCCACCGCCGGGGGGCCCCGTGGCTCACCCAGGTCCGCTTCAGGTTACCGGCTGAGGCCCATTCCACAAATTGGGACCCCTGCAGGAGAGAAAGGGTTAAATGAGGATGCAGGAGGTAGGGCCTGGCCCCTCTAGGGGACACCGGTTCCCGTCTGGCCCCAGGGCAGAGACTGGCTGGGGTGGAGTGGGGGGGGCAGGGAATGGGGCCCACGGCCTTTCCCCTCTAGGGGGCGCCGGCTCCTGTCTCGCCCCAGGGCTGGGACTGGCTGGCTCCAGGGGGCAGGGAATGGGGCCCGGGGCCTGTCCCCTCTAGGGGGCGCCAGCTCCCATCTGGCCCCAGGGCAGGGATTGGCTGGCTCAGGAGGGCAGGGAATGGGGCTCGGGGCCTGTCCCCTCTAGGGGGCGCCGGCTCCCATCTGGCCCCAGGGCAGGGACTGGCTGGGCTGGAGGGGGGCAGGCAGGGAATGGGGCGCGGGGCCTATCCCCTCTAGGGGGTGCCGGCTCCCACCCGGCCCCAGGGCAGGGACCGGCTGGCGGGGGGGCACGCGGTGGGGGCAGAGCCACTCTCACCTGCGGAGACCCGAAGTACCACATGGCCTGAACATCCTGGTGCTGCACCAGCGTCCGGCTCAGATGGTCCCGATTCCCCGTCACAATATTCACCACCCCTCCAGGGACGTCCGAGGTGTCGAAGATCTGGGGGGGGGAGGAAGCAGATGGGCCCTATGAGCAGCCAGGACCAGCAGGGGCTGGGAGCCAGGACTCCTGGGTTCTATCCCAGCTTTGGGAGGGGAGAGAGGTCTAGTGGTTAGAGCCACGGGCAGGGGAGTTGGGAGCCAGGACTCCTGGGTTCTCTCCTGTCACGGGGAGCTGGTTGCCTAGGTCAGGGACAGAGAACCAGAGATGGGACCCACTGATGGGGCGTTTCGGAGACAAAATCCTGCGTGGGCGAATGCGGCCACCGAAGGGAACACGTGGCCCACGCCTGGGGCTGGGCCAGTGGGGTCCCCACGGGCCGGCGTTAATTGTTCCCAGCTGTTAGCAGCGGAGACAAGCAACTCAGGAAGGTAATTAATGGGCTCCTTAACGAGGAAGCTAATGGAAACGCTTCACTTCCACCGCCCCCTGCGGTCATGCAGGCTGTATTGTGTGCGGGACTCTTCTGCCTTATTTGGAGGACCCCGCCCCGTGCCTCAGTTTCCCCATTGCTTTGCAGTGCTGCCCAGTGGGCGCGAATGCATTAAAGCTGCCCTGTGCAGGTTGACTAAAAACCTGCTCTATGTGTAAGGCCCTACCAAAATCACAGCCATGAAAAACACATTATGGATCATGAAATCTCACCCCTCCGGGACATCTGGCTAGCGTAGGGGAGACCAGATTTCACGGAGCTGGGAGCCCGGCAATACTGTGACCCCTCCCCTTACAATCGCCTTGCGGACACCCCACCTTCTTTT